AAATGTGATTAAAGCACTTCTGTAACCATTGAGTCAAAACTTAGTACAAATTTTTAAAGAAAACTACTAAATAAGGCTTTGACAGGTCTTGCCAGACCACTGTCTTTGATGAAGTACCTGCTTTTTCAGATAAGGGAAAGGGTGAAGATGGAAGGCACTTGCATTTCAGTAGAGTGTACTAGAAACAACTGAATAGCACTAGAAAAAACAGGGGTTAGAACAAGGGCTGTTAAGTAGATGAGGAAATGGTTGCAAGAAAGCTGATGCGGACTACAAATAGACTGGGTGCAGGTTACTAGGGGGGTGCACAAATTCACAGAGACTGCTCCTTGGCAGTGTTTCCCCCAGTGATCCCATTATAGGAGCAAGTGTGACCTGCAGGAAAATGCTGTTGGTCAGGGGCCAGATCCTACTGCCACTTCCAGAGAACGGGACTGAGCCGCCCAAGTGGGACTGTCACAGCTTTGTGAATTTAGGAAATAGCAAAAGGAAATGTGATTGTTATCAGTGGATTTATCTGTCAGAAATGAGAACAAAAAGAAAACCTTGGTTTTTTAGTCAGTCTGAGATTGAGTCAATCCCTTTGAGCCAGCAATGTGTGGCAGCTGCTTAGAAAATCATGTGATTGTGGTACATGAGAGGTGAGATAATTGCACTAAAGGTGGAGATGCATTGGTGCCTCGTGTGCAAGGGATTATCGTAGGCAGGGGTTGCTGTCACCTGAGGGCAAGACAGGTAAGAGGAAATAGGAATGTGTTGCGAGCGTGTGTGTCCTGTGACCAAGGGCATCCATTTAGCTGGGGAAAAATCAGATTATATTAAAAATTTTGGGGGAGAGACAACACCTCTTAATTCAGCACTTTGTGTGTGACATAAATACATTAGAAAATTGCTTGTGATATCTCTTAAAAGTATGAGTTTTGATTCTACCTTTACTGGGTTTCTATTTCACTGAATGCCTTTTCTTTAGAATTCATTAATACAAAATTACCTAAAGCATTTCTCCTGAAAATGGTTCATTTCAAGAAAATTATAGCCAGCCTTTAAACTGGTAATTTCAAGTACTCAAATGGAGTGTCTGATTCTCAAAAACCTGATATTTTTTACCATTTTTGCTCCCCCTCAAATTTAAATTTCACATATTAACTAATCTTAGGGCATTGTTTGCAAAGAGTTGCTTGCCCAAATATATTTGAAGATTTATTTGCATTGACAAATAACCTTGCAGTCATTTCATAAGCATCATCTTCACTGCATTGTCCAAATTATTAATAAAAATACTGATGATACTGAATCTGAAAGACACTGAACTGCACCTAATACATATTTTCTGTATGGTAGAGACTGATTAGTATCAGAGTGGGTACTCACTAATCATATAGAAGTTTCATACAGATCATCTTTCCTTCATTTGCTTATAAGAATTTCTTTAGAAGTAGTGTTTGAAGCTTGTTTCCCCTTCCTACGCCCCATCCAGTGCTGTCAGGGTATCACAGAAGAAAGTCAAATTACTTGCATTTCAGTAATTAGATGATTCTGTGCAGATTGTTACTTACCACTGTGTTGTCTTCTGGATGCTTGCAAATAGATTCTTCAGAGGGTGATTCCAATATTTTTCCAAGTACTGAAAAATGGCTTAGTGATCTTCCATTTCCCAACTCATCCTTTTCCACTTTTTCAAGAGACAGGCACCACGTTTACTCTCTTCCACTCTTCTGAAGAAATTTCCTCCGTCTTCCACGAGTTTCCTGAAGGAATCACCTGCAGCTCTAGGATTGTTTCAGACAACTTCTAGAAGCCAAAAGATAACATAAGAGTCTGTAAGTAACGCTACTAGAGGAAGAGTATCTTAGCTGGTCCAGACCCTATGTCATTACTGCTCCATTTGTTCTCAATTTCTCCTACTGAGTGAAGATTTTCCACTTCCTATGGACTAGTTAAATGTTAATTGGGTTTACCAGTAGCAGGAACTTGTGGTAAAGCTAGCAGCAAAGGGTACTGACCTAGGAAATGGATCAGCAAGGTTGTACAATATTAGCTTCACTAGGTTTTTTGCAGCACAGCAGGATGCATGAATGGTTTCCTCTTTGTAGCTTGTATCTGAATTCTTCTGACTCTAGTTGGGATTCACACAAGCCTGTATATTAGCACAGACTGGGAATGACAGATTAAGGATATTCTTATCCATGAAAGCTTCCTTAGCAGGAAC